CCGGGGGCAGCTGCCGGCGGCGGGGAGAAGGGGGCCGCCGTCTCTCCCTCCGCCCCCCCGGCCTAGGGTAGCCTCTGCTGAAAGGATGCAAAAAACCCTCGCCCTTAGCGGGAACGCGAGTTTTCTTCACAGAAGCAGTCAGTGCTGCACTGCACAGCGTATCGCTCCTGAGGGCGGGTTGGGGACGGCTGTGCCCGCGCCTGGCAGGGAGGTGGTGGTGCGAGGGGCAAAGGGGGCTGCAGCGAGGGGCAAAGGGGGTGCCTGGGGCAGAGGGGAACAGCCCGGAGCAACATGGCCCAGCACGGAGGAGTCCGGTCCACAGCGTGTAAGGAGGGGGGAGGAGAGGGTAGCGGTGCTGGTGTCATGCCCTGCCAGGGCTAGGCCTTGGGCTGGGCTGCGTTGCTCCAGCTGCATGGAGTCCGGAGCGACATTATCTCGTAAGCAGTCACCTACCTCTCGCCTGGTGCCCGTGGGCCAGAGCGTGGCCCTGTCGGCACCCTCCAGCCCCACAGCTGCCTTGCTCTCGGAGTGCAGTAGCATCTAGATGCTAGGCAAGAGCAAAAGCACATTGTCCCTTCCACGGACAAAAAAAAAAATTGCAAGGTTAATAGGCTCGAAGAATGGGGAAAAAAAAAAAAAGTCCCAAACCTCTCAACACTTTCAGCTGGTGCTTTGGATACAGAAGAGGGAAAGTTGTGTTTGAATCAGGACTGCACGACAGGCTGAACCCTCTCTAGCTTTTCCCATCATTTGCTAGCAGAAGCCTTCTGGGGAGAGGACTCTGGTCCTGGACTGACTTGTTCTTCCCTGTAAACACGCTTTCACCAGCCTCAGATTACACAGAAGGCATGCTTCCTTGACCATCAGTGTTTCACAATGCTTTGTGTTGGAAGTGCGTATTTTGAAATGGTCCTCGCAGGCAGGTGGGCAAGAGTGGGAAGTATCTGGATCTTAAGAGCTGCGTTGCTTAGACAGGCAAAACAAGGGTAGTTCAGACAGCTGGTGCACAGGGGCTTTCTGAACTGCAAGAGGGCTGGCCTGCTGCAGATTTATGTCCTTTGATCCTGGTAACTCCTTCATCACAACCAGCCCTTTCATCCCCTTAGTCTGGAAGCACGAGTGCTGACCAGCAGCAGCTGGATACTCAAACACCTGAACTTTGACAGTGTTTCTTTCCTGCCTCAATTATTCAGACAACTGATTCACAAGAATCAGTCGCCTCCAAAATCCTTACCCCTCTTCAAATTTTAAATAAAACTGGCCAATAGGCCTAAAAGTTACATGGATTAAAAAAACCAAAAACACCCCCAACCAACCAAAACTAAGAGGTTTTCCTTTAACAAGCAGAACAGATGCTCTACCAACATCACAGACACCACTATATTTGTCCAACTGTGATATAGGAATACTCTTCAAGCAACTATTTGTTGAACTTCTTGGAGGATATTCTACTTAAGTAAAAAACCACCTAATCTTCCATGCAAGTTTGTGAAATGCAACCCTTCTAAAAAAATAAATCTTCCTGCTATTCTACAGGTACAAGACAATGAATTGAGGAAACGAGGAAAAGGGAGCAAAAAACCTAACTATATACATACCCCAGCTGCAAAGAATCAAAGATACACTGCTGATTCACAGAGATACAATTAAAAAGACTTAGAATGATCACACTTTTAAAGGCAAGTCAGCAAGTCTCCCCAAAGAAGAAAAGGGCAGAAAGATTCTGCAGGAAGCAATGCTGAGAACAGCTGTGAAATCACATTTTCTGATCTTCATTGTCAAGTGAAAGACCAGAATATACCAGCTAGGCTCTGCAGTACTAGGGACACGCTGTGGTTCTGCTGAAATCTCATTTTCTTGGAACGTGAGTAGGAGCCTTGCATTTTCAGTTCTTTCGGTTTCTTTTCCCATTGCCATCCTTTCCTAATACCTCCAGTACTCAAAAACACCATATAGAAAAATAGAGCAATGACCTGAAAGGGCCAGCGTACAACAGGTGCTGCAAACATATTTCAGGGAGATAGAGGAGAAATTAAGAACATCTAGAGAGAAGAGAGGAACTGAGTTAGAAAGGGGTCGCATCTTAAGTGGGCAGGCAAAAAAACATGATACAGATCAACTGGAAGAATTCCAAAAACCCTTCCATAAAGCAAAGACCACAACTGAGATGTAGAAGCTGAAACTGAAATACCAATTTTAACACCTTTACTGTAATTCAGTTGCCTATAGAATAAACCCAACACAGCTATTTTCTTGACATCAAGAAAAATAACTCTGCATTGGTTTCACTGGATTTTAGTATGAACCGATTGCACAGGAAGAAAAAAGGACAACATCTCCACCCCAAAGAAGCAGTTTTTAAAAAGGTTTTCAGTTTGTTTGTTTTTTAATAAATGTGCTTTGTTCACAAAAAGTAGTGACATAAAGACAACAGAAATGCAAATACCCTTTTTTCCTTCTCCTCTCCAGCACCTTAAGAAAAGAGACCTCTTGCACAGTCATAATTTTCCAATATTTCATAACCTAGAACATTCTTCTCGCACCAAAGCCAAGTATCCAACAACTGATATCACCACTTTATTGTTCAGGGAGGTATAAATATTTATGTAAATCCCACTTTCCTCCTCCACCACAACCTACTGTCCCTTGTAAACAAACAAAACAAAACCCCCAAAACAGAACAAAAACTAAAAAAAACCCCAAAACAACACTTCAGGTATTTAGAACGAGCAGCAAGAAAACCAAGCTGTTAGGATCAGGTCCCTAAACCACAAATATAATGGTGTCACCAACCCGCCAAAAAGGCTTAAATTTTAAATGTTAAAATATTAAGTACTTTGCGTGGGATAAATCTTGGTCTGAATTGCCTTTCTGTATGAATCACAAACCAATTTACATTAACCAATGCCAACATCTATGTTAGTCTGTATAAAAAAAATTTTTTAAAAGGAGTATCAGTTAAAATGTTAGGTACACTTTTAAGTATGCACAGATTAAATTTCCATAAACAGCTGAATTTATAGCACCAATATTTTAGCATTAACATGAGGACTGCCGGAGTCAGTGGTTAACTGGGAAGAAGAAAGGCTTGGAATGACAAACATTTTAGTGGAAGTGAAGTGGTAAATCATTAAATGCAAATACTGACTTATAGCCAATTTGAAAGCATGGTGTATTTCATTACAGAAGTATTCTTTGTAAAAAAACAAAAATTTAAAAGTCAACCATGATACTGTATGCCTAAACTTAATTTTCTTTTTTTCTTTCTTTACACATCAGAATATAATTGCTTGGTTTGTATATAACCATATCATTAAGATTAAATAACAGATTTGAATCCGGTATTAGGGAATGCTTTAAATTTAAGTAATCGAGGCACAAAAAGCTTACATTAAAGAATAAAGTATTGCAGTCCAGTTCATGTTTGAGTGTAAGCAGGACCAATGCAGGATGACTCTTTGTAGGAAACAGTATAAAAGAAAACCAGGCAGGTCAAACTGTGACACTTTCAGTGCAAAATTTCAATGGAAAGGGAAAATTTCATTTTTGTAGCAACCACTGTAAAATCCACACTACAACTTCAGTTTATCTGGAAACTTCTCTATTATATGGTAGGTCAATATGGTGTAAGGTATATTTTATCACAACCACCTGTGAAACTATACATTAGTATTTTCTACCATGTTGCTGAAGTCAGTCTTAAAACCATGATGTGGCACCTTGTTCAAATAATTTATTATTAGGCACTTACAGAACGATTTAGCAGCCCAACATTCAAATCTGAAAATTCTGGCCATTATTTTTAAATGGAGGGAAATCTAAGAAAAAATAATACTGAATCCTCTACTTTTAACCACTGAACAGAATTGTTTTTTCCTGCAGAAACTCACGCATTTATTATGTAAGTTAAAAAAAACCAACTTAATGGATTTAAAACACTTCTGTTCCATCTCCTTACACCACAGACCACTTTTCAGACAGCTATGGAATTTGTATTTAACTACACAGAAGATCTTTGAGTCCAAATAAGCAAACAAATAGTGTATGTTAACTTCACTTGTGTGGTCTGAACACGTTTTTGCGCAAGTATTTGTATCCTTGAAAAACTTGTAAAATTATATTCCTTTTTACAAAGTCTATCTAGTTACCGTATAACTTGGGAGGTCTACAAGTAAGGACAATTAAAGAAAAAGTTGTTTGTTTTTAAAATGCATAAATAATTTACTTTAAAACATGACAAAACCCACCCTGTCCCCCAATAAACACAGTTTGAAGAGAATACAGAACACCATCATTGGGGAAATACTGATATATGTTAGTGCTTGTACTCACATACAATTGCAAAGCCATGTTCCAGCTTTGAAGTGAAACATAATTGTCCACACGTACCATACTTCTGGAAGGGGGGGGACGGACACACGGGACAGACCTCTTCAGAAATCTCATGTCTAACTACTATTTATGCAATGAAATTACACAGAATATATAACTATGGATTAATATATTCCAGTGTTTTGGTGTTATCTCGATTTGGTGTAATCTCAAGAGGGCTGCAATAAAGAAAATCAAATGTGCGAGCATTATACTTTCTCCAGTTCAGGCTTAACCAGAGTGAAACAAATTTTGGAAAAAAGTTTTGTTCCATAATTAAGAAGGGACATGTGTAACCAAGTGTCTTAACCGATCTGCACATTTAATTAAAGTGCAAATTATTTCTTCCTACATATACTTCTCAGAAGCCCACCAACTCCCAGTGCCTTAAGCTCAACCACACTGAGTTAAAACATAGAAACAACACTTTGCAAATTAAATAGAATTCACACTTCACAGCACTAAAGAAAAGAATGGTACCTTTCTGGAAAAAAAATTAGTGATACAAATCTAAAGGAAGTAACAGCAATTTATGCTATGACGTGAGTCATTTGCATAAAACTTGTATTTTTTCCGCTTTCATACAAGAATAAATTTTAAAATTCAGAAGTAGAAAAAAATAGCAAACTCTTGTAAACTTCTGCATTTGCTTTATGCAAACCGTTTTTGTGTGTTGAGCCCATGTTAGTATAGCAAAATTAGTTAAGGAAGAGGTTTGACTGAAAGGGCATTTCAGCGACTACATTAACTTAGAAGCAATATAGGATCTTCTAGCTCATAGAAAGGAATTGAACTAGACTGGCTTTCTCCAGAGTCCGAGTCGTAAGGAGCATCAGGTAGCTCCATAAAACCGTAAGCTAGCTGTTCATCTTCTGTATCCGATCGAACATAGCAGGAAGTGTTGGAATACTCCTCATCCTCTATGCTGTTGAAATCCTGTGGGATATACAACATTCCCGGGTAGTTCCTGCTAACCAAGTCACTTGTTGTTTGCAGGGAAGTTTTCCTAAATGCCATCAGGTGCATGTGAGAAAACTTGGAATACTTGAAGCGTTTAAAACCCAAGGACTCTATGGCAATTTTCCAGCTTTTCATCATCATAGCCCGGCGATTCTGATGAGATGAATCAGGAGTTATTACAAGCAATAAGCCATTTAATACGAGAAGTTCATGTGCCTTCTTGCAGCATATCCATCGTTGATAGGGTGATGGAAAGTAAGAAAGGAGGAGCGAGAAAACAACGACATGGAACAGTTCTCCAGGTAGAGAATCAATGGGATTTTTCAGTTGCTTCAGAAAGGCATCTATAGCATCTTGTGCCAGTTGGAGAGGTTGCTGAATTTGAAGATTTAAGAAGTCACATTTGTATACGCTCTGGTAGTGTAAGAAAAAGAGAAGAAGCCAAACAAACATCAAGGTTAGTTTAGAGAGCAAATACAGTTCAAACCCACATAATAATCAATGATAACCACATCCCGCCTTGCTATTAAATCAAACAGTCTAAACCAACAATTTAAAAATAATGCATATTTCCAGCTTTCACAGTTGCCAAGAAAAAAAAAAACTTAGACGTGCAGTAATTTGCTGGAGATTTGATAGCTGAGTACTGTTCATTAAAAAAAAAAAATATTTAGCTTGCATGGAACAAAGTGTCAAATCAACTGTCTCACAAATGATTTAAAAAGAACTCAGATAAACCTACATTGCTTTTGTTTCTCCAGATGCTAGAAGCCAAAAGTATCCCTTACTGGCTGCCAAAATTCCATGTTTTCCTATTTCCTATCCTAGATTATCAAGACAGTTGCATATAAAAATATAGCAATAGCATGAAACAATGGAATTCTTAAAATTTACATCTAAATTAAGTGGTAGTTTGTTTTTTGCTTTTGGTTTGGTTGCTTGTTTTTGTTTAATAAATCTGAAATCAGCAATTAGAAAATTGATACCTCAGTATTTCTACCGGTTCTTTAAAGAATCCAGGAAACCTGGTAGTATGGTCACTTGGAAAAAAGTGACATTCCTTACTGGCCCAGAAACATAAAGAAGTTACAGCAAGGCTACGTTAGAAAGTACAGCACACTAACTGCTTTGCAGCAGTGATGCAGGTCCATGTTTTAACCTTGCTGTAAATACAAAGTGTAGTGGTGCACATTTGGGCAGTTATCAAAGTAAGGTAAGGGCTTTAAATTCATCTATTGATCATTTGTATGCTCAGGCTACTGCAGACTGGAAATGACACCACAGTACAACACACAGAAGAGTAAGTTCTTAACATCCTTAATCACAGAGCACTCAAAAAGTAAGAGTAACAGTATGCTATTCACTATGTTTAAGTTTTGACACTTTATATTCATCAAAACCTGGGCTGACTTCTCTCATAAAAAGTATTAAGATACAAGGCTTCAACATGATAGCAGCAAAAATGGTTATTAATGCCTAGAGACTGTGCAGTGAACAACTGATTTCTAAACAGGTAAGTGAAGATGAAAGCAGAGACAAAACACTCCGCAGAGCACATCTGAAAGGTGGAGCACCTGTTGCATTTTCATACTGCAAAAATATTTATAGCATGTTCTATGCAACATTAAAAAAAAGATCACTGGAACACTATTGTAAAGGTATTCATAAAGCAACCAATGTGCACAATTGTTTCCAAGTAGAAGAGAACTTTATTTCTGTTTATATAAAATCATATTCTCTTCTGAGAATACACAGTAAATTAGAAAATTTAATCAATGTTCAAAAAAACCCAGTGATTCATTTTTCAGTAGCTTTAATCTTGGCCTCCAATTTGCAAAAATCAAGGAAGAGACTTGCATTATGTGGCTATAATCAAGAAATTTTAATTGCAACCATTATACCTGCAGGGCTATATTCTGCTTCCTCGTAATATTTAGAACAGGAAATTAACAGTAGTAATTTGATGATATCCTCTAATAAGTTTTAAAAGAAAGAAGTGCTTTGAAGAAGAATTGTTCAGAATAACATGCTAACTATACTTAGAAGCAAGACTTGAAGAGTTACAGGTTGTATGTACAGCTGAATAACAATTTAGACTGCAAGTATTTCTCAGTAGTGGAAAAATATTCATAAAACATTATGCAGAAATTATGTTAAAGAATTTCAAGACTAAAGTATGTTTCAAGTGGAATTTTAGCTCTGCAGGCAGTTTTAGGACAAAAACGCTGCTAAACTGGAGATTGCCACTGAACTCCAGATTAACATCAGTTCAAGACTTGTGTAAATCCTTCTAGACACTGAAACAGCAGTCATATTTCAGTGCATCCACTAACATTTAAGAACACAATCCTACTTGTATTTTCAAATTTTTAATTCCAGTAATCTTCCAGCCTCTTTTTTTTTTTTGTCTCATTCTATATTTATTCCAATACAACAGCATGTTTCCCAGCAGTATGAAATGATACTCAGATTTTCCCAGCGTGGAGATTCTCTCTTCATTCCAATTTTGCTTTTTTTTTTTTTTTTTTTTAAAGTATAGACAAATTAAAACTCTTCCAAGAAAATAACCACTGCTAATTATACTCCAGAATATCTCTTACAAGCAGAATGTTTGAAGGAACAGCCAACAAAAACACCAAGTCAAGAAGAAACCTGCTCTGCTTGCCCATCTCAGTTCCCTCGTCACAGTTTATAATACTGCATGTTTCCCTCGGTGTACCTTACACCAAGAGATTGAAAGAGATCAGTGAAAAATGCTTAAAGATAATACCATTCTCTTCTTGGTGCGGACCCATCCCAATCAAAACACAAAACCAGATTACCATATTCCCATTATATTCCCATATTCACAGCTCTACAGTTCACATTTTCCGTTCTGAAGCATACAGATTCTGAACAGTTTGAAGACATTAATTCTTTTATCATACAACTAACGTTTCAGTTCCTCTCCTAACTTTTTCCACAATTACATCCTTCTTATTCCTCAAGTTAGCTGAAGTATTTTACTCAACTATTTGGTCTGCATCCAAAGCATTTCTATATGCAGAAAGTGGATTAACCTACTTTTATTAATAAAGAAGGATTTATTTAACCATCTAGTCAGTATTATTCAAGAAACTGACTTCCTAAGAAGCCTCTATGCTTCAATGCGTTTCAAGAAAGTATTTTGGTATCTTATCTAAAAGACTGGCTAAATCAGGAGATTTGACCAGTTCTTCTATTTTGAGCTTCTACCACTAAGTCATCAGATCCACTTTTCAGGTCAGACAATGACATTAACTACCATAAGAACCCTCTGGCTGTTTTTCTGAAGTCTTAAATCAGCGCAGGCAACTGCTGGCCTAAAGATAAATTTATTCAGGAGGTTATAGTGCTGATGCAGCTCAAATTAGAGTCATCTTGAATACATCAGTGGTTATTAATTCTGTTTTGGAGGTGGGCCTAAGCTTATTCCAGCAGATGAGTTTGAGTGCACAAGCTGTACTCCATGTCACTCCAAGGACGCTTGCGAGCTAGGTTGCAAGGTGCCCTGAACACACCAAAGTATCCAAGAGGGTGAAAGTAAGAGAAGCTGGTGAGCCCGAGACAGGCCTCACAGTAATCATGCTGGTACAGTAACGCTCCTATCATCAAGCTATGCTCCTAACTGTGTCAGATGACAAGAAATCAATTATCTTATCATTCCCTTATACTGGGAGAGAGCCTGAAGAACTGGTTAGTAGACAGAAATTGCAGCTACCTGACTACTCCCTCTCCTGTTGTCTGGCTTGGATTACTCACTTTCCTCCATTACATCCACAGAAGTAACTTTTCTGGGACTCTTCCAATAATGGTTTTGGTCACTGTACATTTAAACTGACTTTCATGAGAACAAAACTAATTTTCTTATGAAAACAGCACAATATACTAGACAGCAAAGTATTAACTATCCATACCCCAAAATTAACGATTAGATTCAGCTCACGTAACTTTAGATGCCTAGCCTCCCACTACAGTCACTGGAGAGTTAGTCAGTGCAGCCCACAAGGTCAGAACACAATTCACCTCATCCTGAAACAGCAGACGCTTATGTCTGCAATTGGAACATGGAACCTCAGATGTAGACACCCTTGCTCTATATACCTTAGCTGGAAATTTACTTGCCATGTATTACCATTTTAGATGCCATAGGCTGCCACTTCACTGGCACGTGTCTCCTCCACATCCTGTGTCATGCCCCACAGCCCTGTGCAGATGTCCTACAGCCTCTTAAGTGGTGGAAGCCAATCATTTTTGGGCAACTGATGCCTATTCTTCAAATTAGGCAAGATGGAGTCCACTCAAAGGTTTTTTGTGTTTTAGATGAAACTAACATCAAATGGCTTTAAAAAAGCATTTTATCAGACTCGGATTTTTTATCAAGAATATCTTTCATTATCTCTAAGCATATACACAGAAATATAAATTAGATGTTAGTGGACTAAACCTGGTGACCACAGCAAAATACCATGCATTTAGCATGTAAACAACACTGCAGCAAATAAGTGAACATTGCTTTCAAGTGACATTGTACTTGTACACTTCTCACCTCTCCATTTCTAAAGGACGTTACCTTAGGCCACTCACTGTAATAAAGCCTGACTTTAAACTGTAAAGTGGTCAAGACGTGTATGGTCAAAGGTTTTTGTTTTCTGTCAGAAATGCACTCCTTTATGTATCTTTTCATTTTCATTCCACTTAGCATTTATCAACCAAAAAAAAATTACAATTAGGACTGACAAAAGTTGGGTCAAAAGCAAAAGACAGAAAGAACATATGATTACAGTAGAATTAATGCATTTGAGAACTGGACTACCTGGAGAAAATGAAGCAATTTACCCCAAAAATGCTGATAAACTTGTCCTCAGGATTGCAGAAGTTCAATAATATACACAGCAATAAGCTGAAAAGACCCCTTACAGTGCACTTCTGGTTACTAAAACTCCCCAGAAACACTCACCAAGTACAGGTTCTGATCATTTAATTCTGTCAGCGAATGCAACTTTCAAGAGGTTCATGCCTTAGCATAAGCCTGCTCAATTTTTATTTATGATTTTTAAGATGCAAAGACTCATCTCAAATGCCATTAAAAGATGGCTGCTAAAATTTTCCAATCTTAAGATTCACAACCGTATTAGGCATAACTCTTCAAAAAAATTAGATTTTTAAAACAAAACACAACTACAGTTTAGACCCTGTTCATGAGAAAGGATGTAGTAGGAGGGTCACAATTCCTTTTAAAGCACAGATATTTAAGATACATACCTAAGTATTAAACATACTTTTTTTTTTTCCCAGTCATTTTGAAGCATTCTAAAGTATCTGAGAATCAATTTTATATTAAATTCAGCAAACATTACATACCTCAACAGCTGGAACAATATCTATGCCAACTGTCAGAAATTCTTCAAACTTCAGAAATGGATTAAAGCAGCTACCAACATCAAGTAATCTGATCTTCCCCAAGGAGTGGAGCAATCTAAGAAGCAGCAAGAATTCAGTTTTATCAAATGTTATTTTTGAAGCTACATTCTGAATTACAATTTCAGATAACACACACAAAATATTTCTCATAGGATACCACAGTAGTGACTAACTGAAGTAAATGCCTTAACTTGAATTGCATGCCTTAACTTGAATTGCTGAGATACCTAAAGAACCAAGCTCCATCAGTAAAGCAGAAGAGTTTATGATCAGAGCACCTGTAATACTATTAACTTGTGTACTTGTAGTAAGAAACTAAAATGGCAACTTATGTGTCCACTAGACAGGCTTTCTCTATTGCTTTGTGTTTCCCGCTTAACTTTTTGTGATATTTATTGGTGTTGAAGTGACACAAGTCACCAGAGTTAAAATTTCAGGAGTTTAAAAGAGAAACTGACAACACTCGCACGACCTACCGTCTTGTCAGTCCCATTTTAAAGGGCATCTGAAGTAAAGTGCCAAAATCGGTTTAATAAAGACAAGAGAACACATAATGGTATTCCAAGGTAAACAGAAAATATCTAAGAATGAAAGCATTTAGTTATTCCCTGCAAAGATTTAAAAATATTTCATTTGCTTTATGTTAGCTAGTATTTTTTAAAATGCTGGAGGTTCACTCCAATTCTACTTTCAACGGATGCTGTGAAAGCGTTAGATCAGTTCATGCAGAGCCACAAACTTAAAAACTGGCTGCTTAAGTTGTAGGGAAGTTATTCTAAACATCTAAATGAACTGAAGTATTCCCCTAAAACTACTTAGCAAAAAAAAAAAAAAAAGTCTATTCCATGCCATGCAATCAGTTTTCTTTTGGAATATCCAAAAGTTTTTTAATGAGAAAGATTCAAAAATAGCCATCTGGTTTAGTAGAGAGAGTCCTAATCAGAGTACTTCTGAAGTACTCAAAAATGAAGATTTATCCCATAAGAATTCTGGAGAACATTTTAGTAAGCCAAAAATCGATCTCCTTATCTGCCACTGTGTGATGACCCTCCTAGGCAAGGTGAAATTATAGATAAGGCGGCAAATGGTTGTAATGCTAAATACTTAACTATGCTACAAAACAACAAAAGGTGAATGAACAGATGTCTTGGGAAGCTCTGACATCATCTGTGACCAATTGCAAAACCAATCCGAAATGCCTTTATGAAGATAAAGACATCATTGCTTTCTTTATTAAGTTAAAAAAGAAAAAATAAAGAGATGCCTGGCAACTTTTGAGGATAGTGACTGCTGCCTTGCCTCTGAAAGCATTCTTATCTTCCAAAGCATAGTCTCCTTGACCAATGCCTAGAACAACATTTGAGGTCTTCAAGTTTGCAACCATAAGCATTTTCTTCATGACTAAAGCAGTTACCAGTATATATAATGTAGCATCAGATAAGATCAATGCACCTGTACGGAAGTACTGGCAGTCAGCTATCTAAACCAGTAAATGCTGGAGTTAACCAATTCTGTTCAAGTCCGCTAGTACAGACTTTACATCCACCTGGTCTCTAAAACAACTTGATGAGTTCATCCATGTATCAAAAAAAAAAAAAAAAAAAAAAAAAATAAAGAAAATATACAGCACCACTAGCACCCAACAATTTGAGCTCTTTCAATTGGATCATTTATAGGGCTGCATCTAAACATTTTGATTATAATTTGTAAGATCTTACAACACCCAAAATCCATTAATAGAGGCAAACAAATGCAAATTCACAGCTTTCACAGGGAATTCACAGGGAGGAGAATGGTAACTTTCCAGCAAGCAAACGTTGCTTTTTACTTCAAGTTTCTGTAGCCAATTCAAATTGTCATCTCCAAAACATAATTTGTCATCTTTCTGGGAAAGATTCAGCCCTAGAGAGACAGATCACTGCAAAACCTTTCAGGAACAGATCTGCAGGGCCAGTGGAGTCCAACAAAGCCATGGTTGTACTCATAGCAACAACAAAGCAGTAAGGAATACTGCAGAAAAAAATATCTTTAAGCAGCAATAAAGAGATCTGGGCTCTCTGTGCTCTTTCTCAACTCCCAGTGATCTACCACAGAGGATGTTGGGGAAGCAAGAGAAGTTTTCTTGTTGCAGAACAATAATGCCAAGTTTAAGGCTTTTGCTTCTGCATGGAATAGAAGATATCCAGGGGATACTTCCATCAAAATACCAGCATTACCAAGGCAGAGTGCAACAATTATCTTTAAGTTAAAACTGCACTCATTACTAGGCTACCCTGTAAATCAGTCAATACTAAGTGAGATTTCAGAATGAAGATGACAGCAACATTTTTTTCCCAGCTTGGATGCCAATCACAATGTCATCTCTACAACAGGAATTTGAATACTGCAGAGCGACTGTTCAGATCCTAATGGCCATAAATCACAAACATGAGCTGAAATCAAGTAGTGTCTTTTTCCCACATAAGACTAGTGTGACATTTGTCAGACCAGCACGTCTCCTTTTCTAGAAAATGGAAACATTAGTGGCAGATTCTTTCTCATTCAAACACAGAAACGTATGTCTGTATGTACACTTGCATTCTCCATAAGAGTCCAATGGTAACAGCAAAAGAATAGAAGACACACGGGACCAGAGGGAACACAAGAAGAGGGAATGTGACTCTATAATGCAGAGAAAACTTCCCATAAAAACTGACAGCCTCTAGAGATCTTATTTTCCATTTAAAGTGTTCGATGAAATACTTGTACAGATTCAAATTAAGCAGCACAACTGAGAACGCTCTGATCTCCAGGAGAGCTCATGTCACCTACGGTGGAGTGAAAAACCACTGTTCCTCTCTTACAAAATCTGCATTCTTGGCTGCAGCATTGTTTTTGACTGGGTGAAAGGGGACACAACTTCAGACTACTGCAGCATTGGGGAAGACTTCTGGAAAGCTACAACTCTGTATTCCAAGCTAAACAGAAGCCAGAAACCCTCTTCTACACTAACGGACAACAGATCTAAGGCATTTGATACAGGGCAAGTTCACTCCAATAGCTGTGTCACATCCATGGAGCCTTGTAGTCCAAGTTCAATGCAAATGTACCTTGAAACCTTAAAAGCAGCAGAGATTCAGGTGCTCACTTGGGTCTTGACTTCTCCTGCTTGTCAGGTTTTGCTGCCTCTCAGAACACAGGTGCAATGAATTGCTTCGTAGCAATTCTCAGGCTGCCAGTTATCAGTAGGAACAGTTAGGTGCTTGAAATAATTTTTAAGCTCTCAGAAGTGCTTAGATTCGGTCACTAAACATATACAGAGAACACAGACCACAGAGCCAGGTGGTCTGAAAACCACTGGTTCGGAGAGTTACTTTTTCAGCACTGCAACTCTTAAGTCTGATTCCTCAGTGAGAATATAACTGTAATCTAGGTGACAACCACTGATCCAGTGCACCAATGACTTTGTTACAAATTTAGCCTTGCTGAATTAATTGATAATCACCCCTCAACCCCCTGTTACCTCATGATTTTCAGTTCAACATTAAAAGCAAGGGAAGTGCTTGCCACTGTGGGTAATCTCCAAGCACATCTTGGATCCATAGCTCTCCAATGCATTAGTGTACAGGTAGAAAAACAAAATGTGAATATGTAAAGATCAGAAACTGGTAAATTAAAACCTGGGAAATGGCATTCTAAACATATCCCACACTTGTTTGTTCAAGAACTTTATTAAATGGACTGCAGCTCTTGATTATTAGCCCCCTTAGAAATACACCTATTATTCAACTAGGTGCTGTACAGGTAAGTGACATTTTTCTCTTGGAAGTAGATAGAAATACAGCAGTTAGGTGATCATGAGAAAAGCTGCTCTATCACTGAAATTAATCACTTCAAGTGCCAATCTCCTAGTTTTCAATTATTCTATTATTTATCAAGGATGTTTATTTACAATGTGCACTTGCAGCCCAGAAGGCCAACTGTACCCTGGGCTACATCAAAAGCAGTGTGGCCAGCAGGTTGAGGGAGGGGATTCTGCCCCTCTACTCTGCTCTGGTGAGACCTCACCTGGAGTCCTGCATCCAGCTCTGGAGCCCTCAGCACAAGAAGGACATGGAACTGTTGGAGCGGGTCCAGAAGAAGGCCACAAAAATAATCTGAGGGCTGGAGCACCTCTCCTATGAGGACAGGCTGAGAGAGTTGGGGTTGTTCAGCCTGGAGAAGAGAAGGCTGTGGTGATACCTTATTGCAGCCTTTCAGTACTTAAAGGGGGCCTATAGGAAAGATGGGGACAATCTTTTTAGCAGGTCCTGCTGTGACATACTTACAGACAGCTCTGCAACTCTTATTTGTAGCGTTACATTACCAAAATGGAGTGATAGTATTTGAACAAGTGTATGTATGTGTGGAGGTTCCCCCATACCCTTTGTACCAAGACCTCACCAAGACTCAAAGACTTCACTAACTGATCAGTGTAGACATGGTAGAAACACATTTCGGGAGAAAGGTATACTTTGTGTAATACACAATCCATTTTCAGTCTGATAAACTGTAATTTCTTCTATAAGCCACAGAAGAAGAAATTGAATTTTGACTTCTCCAGTAACTTGGAACAGCTATGCCTTGTTGCTTTAAGGTCTGCACAACTACTAAAAACCCTTAGTACCATTTGTTGTTTACTCAGGTAAATATTATGAATCTTGACTTTGCCAGGTATGTCTTTATGGATGTATGCATGTTTAAAGTTTTGAAAATGAAGATAAAAATCATCATCACTCACTAGATGAACAAATACTTTTAAAGTTATTAAATATAAACTTCTCTATTAACTCCTTTCTATACAAACTAGTCAGAACAAAAGGTAAGGGTACAGACTACTGGTAGCAAGAAGAAACTCATGTGACATTAGCTCCACATTGGCCATCATGAAGTCTGTACAAAGTATGAAGATAGAGCACATGCAAAGAGAGAGCTACTGCTTTATCATAGAGGGCCTCCCACTGGAAGACAAATCAACTTTAAGTAGCGTATGATCATCAAACCTATTGATTTAAACAAACAAGTACCAACAAACTGCTATTTATAGTAATGCTAAAATTCTGTGTTAACAAATGCCAACATTGTTGGGATGTTATAAGGTATTAGTATCTCATCAGCCCTTTGTGTGAAAGTGCATGGTCATTCTCATTAAAAACAGGTATTTGTTTTGAGGCTGACTTAGCAAAATGAGCACTAAAAAGAGGAGTCGGTGGGGGAAGTCAGCTTAGGAGAAGCCACTACCTTCATTTTGGAAGCATGTGTTTTGTCTTGTCATAATAGGACAACAATGGGGAAAATGTTTTCATTTTGCATGTAATTATTAACCTACGTATGCATTTGTCACCTTTATGCCTTTTGCAAATTACTTCACGAACATGAAAAACCATGAAAGATGCCAGCTCCTAGGGACAGACACATCTGCTAAAAACATCCGTAACATGTTCCTTTCCTAACTATGCCTAACTTAAGGTAAGTGCTGATCACAGAAGATGTGCTACAATAATGAGAAAAATCTCTTCACAGAACAGAAAAAAGTACTGTTGCAGACAGTTGTAGGAACTGGTCTATAAAGAATATGAAGCAAGTCATAAGTGTAACATCTAATGATAATATGCTTATGCATTCATTATTCCATTATACTTGCAAAATACTAAATTCTTTCCATCACACATGGAATAGCCACAAACATGATCCATGTTGTTTAGGAAAAAAAGGAGGGTGGGACTGTAACTGAAATAAAGCTACTCCTGTATGCCAAAAATAAAATTCTTACTTGCATGAAGGTCAAAACCAAAATTAAAACTGTTCTTAGGAAAATACCTCAAGGATACTACAACTTCTGCAGAGCCAGTCATCAGAAAGCTAGCACATTTAAAATGAAGGGTTATAATTCAAAATTGCTTTTGAAGTGTATAATTGGAATGAAGAGTTTCTCTGCAATTATTTATGAAGAGAAAGTTTTAAGTACTCTGATATTTACATTTGGCACTTAGTACTTACATAAGCAATTGACTTTTCAACAATGCTGAACAGCCATTAGATTCTAACTTAATTAACGTCTCCCTTGTTTCACCTCAAGGTTTAATATAAATTGCATTGCACACCAATGACATACAAAAGCAAAATTGCTCTAACACTTAGTCATCTTCATTTAAGTTGTCGTTCTCAAGCAATTTTTTACAGCATCCACCAAAACATACTACAATATAAATATTTCTTCACACATATATATGTTCACATGAAAATGCCCTTTCTTAATTATTAAAAATACAGACTGATCTAATATGTCACAGGGAAAAAACTTCCAGGTAAGTCTTACCACACACAGAAGGGAAAAAAAAGTCTGGAAAACCAGTAAAACTTACTCTTCTGTTATAGCTTCATGATTTGTCAAGCCAAAGTTTGGCAAGGGATCTTCAGTCTTGGGAGCCTGGGGAACATTTAAAACTGGAGTGGTCTTAGAAGCAAGCAGTGCTCTTTTTTCATCTTTCTCAAGTGCTTTTCTTTTCCCACCGTTCTGAAAATATTCTCGGCATACACTGAAAAAAACAAAAAGAAAAATTCCCCAGAAAAACAGAATGCTATTTTTGGTCATTACTACAGGTAAGACGCAAGAGAGAGGTTTAAAAAGATACAAGTGCTGTCAGCTTTCAAACGAATCTGGGCTTTACTGCGACTTCGGTAAATCAGCTTGAGGAAAGATGCGATACGCCCAAAGACACACTTTAAGTTGATTGGTGCTTTATTTCCAGAAATTAGGCTGTAAGTCACAGTTGAGTAAAGAGATTAAAAATAGTTTTATCTGGATAGACTTTCAGAGCAAGACAGAAGTCTTGTCAGAACATCAACAGAGGGTAAACTTCATCTGTCACCTGAGCACCACAGGTCTCCACTAAGGTGCAGTTATCAACTAGCTCCCCACAAATGCAGGGGGTTTTAAAACATCTGTGCCTTGCAAGACACATGATGTGGGGGAAAAGAAACAATCCAGGCTTATGGTCTTACTTACATACACCAGTTTTTAATTTTAATTGAGTTTGCCTGGGATGGTTTTTGTTTTTAAGTAACAGATATCTCCAGTAGCTCTATTATTGTGGAAGACCGGTTTCAACTTTCAATTTCTTCCCATACTTAATTATTTTGCTAATAGGAACGGGAACAAAATAACTTGGTTATACTTGAACAGAAATGTTAACCAGTTTAAAGGAATGAATGTTATCAAAAAAGTTGGATTGCACGTGCATACTTCAACCAGCAGTCAGCATTATCGTGTGAGAAGCAAGCATTATGTTGGAGAATAACTGAATTTTGTCCGCAAAATAGAACTAGATTTGGAAACAATTTGTTGCTGTGAAATTAAAAAGCCTGACTCACCCAGCACAAAGCAGTATTTTTAATTAGATGTACCAGCCAAGTATTTGCACGGAAAGTTTAACAGAAATAGTACTTGTTTGAATGATGTTTTCATAACAACCCATTTTTATGATGCTTTCTTGAAACTCACTCAATTTTCCTTTAACAAAGCTGCAGAGGTTTGAAGGAAACATTCCAGAAAACATAAATTCAAGTGCAGTTTAATAACACCTTATACAAAGCAGGATGAAGGTAACATAGTATTTCACATCACAGATCCAGGAAAGGACATGTTGGTATAATGCTGCATTTAAATCACAAATAGAGACAAGGACCTGGAATACACAGGCCTTATCTAAGGTTTGGTGATATTACAGTCATTGGCCTTGAGTTTCTTAAAGGGAAACACACACAATCAAACAGGTACAGATAAAAGTCACTTTACTCCAAGCTGGTACGAAATTAACACCCTGAATCTGTAAATACATAATTGCAGTAGCACATTATGTTCAGGTTACTAATTCTTGTTTTGAGGGGGGAAAAAAAATCTTGGACCCATTTGTGCGCTAACATGTTTACAGGACCTCGAGATCAAACCTGACCTGTGTCTAACACTCTCAAAGCACAAGCAAGTTTTACATGCTCAAGCAGGCCCTAAGCGTTCTTGCACTAACTATAAAAAGTCTAAAATGCAGACAGTAACTGTAGAGCAGAAAACACAGCTATATGAGAAATAAACTCAGTAAACACTGTACTTGTAATCAACAAGTTTATAGTTACAATTCCTCAGTAACCAAAGCTATTTTCAAACCAAGAGAGAAGCTAGGTGGAATAAAGAAGTAAAATCCACATCTTAACAGCATGGAGAAAGATCACATACAAAAGCATGAACAGCAGTCGAGGCTGCAATGCTCCCAGGTGTATAGACTGTGAAACCATACCAACCCCATCCATGAGAGACTGCACGTATGGAAAGATAACAATTGTAAAATTAACAAAGTTAAAATTAAAACCAACAGTAAACAAAAGAGAACCCCAGAAAAACACTTGAATTATTGCCAGTATGCTAATAAAAGTTGTATTTTACACTCTATTGTATTATTCATTTATAAGCATATGATCAATTTAGGGATTATGTCTTTCCTAACTATTTAGTTCTGTGTGTCATTTAGTCAAGGAAATGAAACGCAGGGGAAAAAAAAAAAAAAAATAAATCTTTTTCCTCACTATTTATCAGCTACGAAACTACTCTGTTAGCATCTTGCAGTCTATTTTTAAGTCTTTTTTCTCGTTATATCTCTTAAAACACCCAGAATCAACGTCAGCTTACATAGTCTTGCACTGCCATTGATACTGACATCTAAGTCAGAACACATCAAAAAGTTCCCAACCTTGGGGGAATGTATTGTTTTTTCTCCTCAACTATTGAGGTTATCAACTTTTTAATTCACTAGAAGCTGGTGTGTTGCCCAGCTTAACACTTAATGAGCTGTTGCACAGGAGAACCACCTACTTGTAAAGTGTAGTATAAGCTCCTCCTGTCACTGAGAAGCCAATTCTTCTTCATTCTTGATACTGATGCAAATCAGTATTTTTTTTCCAATCCTTCTACCCCTATCATGTCAATTGAGTTCTCATAATTCTGTATTCTTCTTGACTGACCTTCCTTATCTGCACAGAAGACACTATCAAAGTCAACCATAAGGAGAAGCATCTTCTACGTCTGGGTTTTCACTGGTGGATGGAGGGGCCAGAGTCACAAGGTAGCCCAAGACTGGGTAAAATTCTTCATGTTCAGATCCCAGTCTGCATACCTGTGTGGTACCGCAAGGAAGAGAAGAGGAAAAAAAAAAAAAAAAAAAAAGAAAATACCAAATCCACTCATCCAAACAAAAAATCCCAGGAAACACTGCACTTCATAACCACAGAGGGTTATCTCCATTTTATGCCTTTCTGAAGTTACAGTAATTCTGGCAGGATTACTACATATTGCCCTCTTGGCTCCCATGGCTTCAGAGGGGCAGTCTTCGCACTCCCCTCGTGGAAGCAGACCTCACACCTATCGTAGGGCCGTGAGGCAACACCGAGCACGTGGGCAGTCACTGCAGAGCAGCTGACCAGAGCTGATGCACTCAATAGTTTACCCCATGGTAACTTGTCTATGTAGCCACATGTTTTAACTTCATGGCCATTAAAAACCATCATTGATCACACTATGGTTTTGAGCATGCAGCTATTCAAGACTCTACATTTAACAACTGTCTCAAGTAATGAACATAACATCCCTTAATTATCTACAAAGAGAAAAAAAATTAAGGAATCTAATTTATAATTCCGAGAACTGACATGGCTCCATTTTTAACTGACATTTAAGCTTTCAGTCTTTGATGATACAATAATAGCTCTACAATTAACATACTTGTTTGTGAAGAATTGTGCAATGCAAATGCTACCTGAGCTAACACTTGCTACAGTTTACACAAACTGCAAAATAAACTTTTCAGGTCCAAACTGTTTAAGTTTGCTGGCAGAGAGACAGGTAAAGTGTCCAGTTCATGTCTGTGCTTTAAAAAAAAAAAACAACAAACAAAAACCCAACAAACCACTAGGTATTTCCTCAGTGAAACTTGTTTTCCATACTTCAGATCTCAGATGGTAAACAACCTGTTCAAGTTGAGCCCCCTGTTCCACGCTTTTGGGCTGGACATTATAGGAAGTTTCAGTAAAAGCCAATATGAATACATATTCATTTGTTAATACTGTCCAGCAATGAGAGAGAAGCCTCTTTTTCAAATACAGTGACCACAACCAAGAGTTTCAATAGAATATATCATTTTAAAAAAAGGAGGGTGGAATTGCCAAAGAAACACCATATGAAATATAAAAGCAATGAAAGAATCAGTAGGTAGTTCTTCTCGTCAAGTAATAACAAACAACTAAATTAAAGCTGGTGCTGTCAGCTTTTACCATGGCAAAAAGCAGCTTCTGATAACTGTTATCAATGCTCAAGGGTTTCAGGCAGCTGGTTTTACAGGCTGAGAACTGACACAGTCCATCTCTTTCCTTCCGCTTTACAATGAGGAAAAGGTGAGCTTGACTTATGTTCCTTACAATATTTACTAACCAAAACCTAATACTGAAGATGATGTTCAGTGAGGGTACAGAAAAATAACATATCTCCCTTCAGAGCTGAAGGAAAGTCTGGGCTTCTCATCATGGTTTCTGTCTGCAAAACATTCCCTCCTCCCACACACTGAGGAGTAAGTTTATTAACGTCAACTGAGAGAACTGCTGGCCTGAAAAAAGTGTAAACTCTTCCAGAGGTTTAACCTACCCACCCCACAACCTCCAAAGAAAAATCAAGGAAGGAAGAATTCTCAATTTCCCTTTTCACATTAATCATACCTAGAAGATCAGAAAAGTTGCCTCTGGACTGGAAAATAATTTGCTATTGTCTTGCGCACCCAGCTTTAGGTTAAGGAAATCCTGTATTCAGTATTGGTGAGAGCACTCGGTTTCTCCGTGTAAAGTATTATCATTTTTTATTATCATAATTATGTTTTGTTAAACTTCAAGTTGAGAAACTTGTATACAATATATTTTTCCACTTTATTTTTCACAACTTGGTCTCAGTTTTAGGGTTTTGGTACATTTTCCTTTTGAGAAACACAATTAGATCTGTAATCAGATGTTTCTCTGGTGGTGTGTCCACCCCAAGCCAGCTTCTGGAGTCAGTATCCTTCATTACTGGAGGATTCCAAGAACTTGAAAATAGGCGGCAGTTATCATATGATCACTGCTTTAATTAGCGCTAGTGTTCAAACAAACAGATTTGGTTTTGTCAGAACAAAGTATTATTTAAGAACAAAAATTAAGACTGTCATACAAACATGAACATCAAGTATTTTTTTCTATTTTACATGGTTTCCTTCCTCCTGTTTATCTCTCTCTCAAATCCATTCCCCTGAAAGTGCTCGACTAACCGCATTCATCAGAAACACTGCAAAATAGCGTCAAAGGGACTTCAAACATTCATTCAATCTTCCAAGCCCAAACAGGATCAGCTTTACAGTTCTAGAAGAGACCTGTTATTCTCAAAGGTCTTGTAAGAGATCACTTAGCCTTCTCTTGACTACACAGCTCCAGCTTCTACAAAAAAAACCTAAGGCTTTTGTGGAAAAAATCAGAATATTTTTTATCATTTCTTTACCTTTCTTGGAGTTGAGCTCTTTGTTATTTTTTAAATGCAGTGGCCAAGGTAATATTTTGGCTAAGAGCAATGCTAAATAAGGTCAGAGGAGTACTTTACATATCTTGTGGACAATCTCATTAACGCACTCCAGTATGATATTTGCTTTTACTGCAAAAGCATCCCATTGCCTATTTCAAATTTAGCTTGTGGCCTGCTACAGAAGACAAATGCTCTTCTAGAAGACTGACATAAGCAATTACTTCCTGGCCTGCATTTGTATATTTGATAATATTTGGTATAGTTAGCAACACTTAATTTTAATCCTGCTCTCAGGGTGACAATCCTTTTCTGTTTGGTCTCATTTGCAAATTTAATAAACAGACTTTATTCTAGAACATTGCTAATGAAAATATTGATTAGTAATGAATGCAGGGACAGACACTGACAGAGTCCTTCTCAGTAAATCACATTTTTAAGATAAGATTCTAACATCTATTCTCTGCAAGTTTTTCCAAACAGTTCTGCACTCACCTGATACTAACTTCATCAAGACTGCATTTCTTCAGTTTGCTCATGAAACAATCAAAATACTTTTTAAAAAAAATGCAGGTCTAGATAGTGCTTTGTCATGATAGTTGGAAGTGCAGATTTTGTTTTTTATTATTTAAAAAGAACAGCCAAGTCAACACAAGTCATAACATTGATGCAAAAGCAACAGAAAGAAGCAAACCTGCTGGTCTAGCTTATTTTGTTCCAATTCAAACCAGAACAGGCTAGCATTCACTGTCCATACAAAGGCTCACCAGCCTACCTATGCCAGCAAAATGAAGAGTTAGGACAATTATTCAGGGTAAACATCATCTTACCCTACTTTGGTTCAAGGTTTAAGTTTTGTCTTGTAATATAAATGAAATGAAAGAGAAACAGAAGTGTTAATTTCCAAATCCCATTTGCTATTCTGTAGTCAGTTTTCCAAAGATGCAAAAAGAAAGCAAGGGAAGGACAGCTGAGTGTTGTCCAGGCTTTTTACACCACCACTCAGGGGATGATTAACCTGCTTCTGGAAGGGGACTAAGGTTTAATCCCTCTCCCCCCCAACCTGTCTCCCCAACTAACTGTTGTATAATGTTGCCCTGAAACAATAAATAAAACTGGCCTCATATAACACAGCATATGGTCATCAGCACAGTCTATCATATACTGCTTTCCATCTTTTATGGTTTCTGAAGTCTGGATATGTACTTGTTTAAATCAACAACTAATGAAGAAATAAACTAGATTACATAAAACTATTTTAAGAATTAATGTCAGAAAAAGCATTTTTCCAGCATCTTCAACTAAATAGCTAGAAAGACTTTGGAAAGGAGAACCCTGAAAGGAAATTGTTATTCTTGATCCTGAGACATACACATGGCTTCTCTAGTGGTTATTCTGCATTCTCCGATTTACTTTATCTGGTGGTTGTTTGTAAGAGAATACAAGGAAAATGAAGGAAAGAAAAAAGGTGTGCGGTTTTTTTTTTTTTTCTTCTAACTAGTAGAAAAAACCCTTCTCAGTTTCAGATCTCTGAAAAGATCTTCCTTCAAAGAAAATAAAAAAAGAAAGTCAGACTATCCTTTCTTCAGCAGGGATACACCAGTGGTTACCGAGTATTTTCAACATTTCACTCCCAAATTAAACTTCACCTAATACATCAGCTACCGTCCTGCTGTCATGGTGACACAGTTAAAGCATTGAGCAAAAGCTTTCAGTGAAGTCTCACGTAAATCAAGTTCTCTTGCAAGCAATTATGCAACCAGACGCAAGAAGGTGTAGCAGCAATGGGACCTGCCATCTGTCTGGCACACCTCTTGGCCCTTTGAGAAGGAACAAAAAAATTGCAGAACACAAAGTCAGTCTGATATGTGCTGGTATCTAGCCATCCAGGCCTCAGTTTAATCCGAGGCACACAAAAGTGAAAAGTACCCCTTTTTTTCTACTATGTCAAGCTCCTGACCCCATGACTTTGCAAACTGAAAAGGTACATGCTTTAATTGAAGCTTTATACTGAGACAGAGCATTTTAGTATCTCTCATCAGGTGGATTCTCTTTTCAACATGAATTCATGCTGCAAGGCCCAAACTGGACACTTTATTTAAATGTTTACTTTGCAAATCTTCTAGGAACTACAAAAAGAAAACAAGTGAGAGCACCAAAAAAATTCAATACACAGGCCATCGACTGTTCCTCCCCTGTCCACAAGGAATATGATCCTGTGCTACAAGGTAACAGACAAGTTTGCCACAAGCTAAGGGAATACGGTTTACCTGAAATTACTTTAAAGTAAGCGTACACAACTCTACTGAAAAAAGTTTCACATTAGTTGACAATCAAATTGTAAGAAAACATCAAGCAATGTTCCATGGGAATCTGTCCTGGTTCCAGTACAATTAGTATTTTCACGGATAACCTGAATGTTGGAACAGTCATTACTTCACCTAACTGGTCTGTGAATGATGCTAAGTGGGGGGTGGGGGATAAATGCTGCAAGAAATCGCAGTATTAGAATTCAATACGATTAAAAAGAGTGTAATTTAGTAAAGAGAAGTACAAATATCAGCATTTCCACAGAGGTAATGAGTAGCACAAATACAAGAAAACAACTGGCAACTGAGGAAGCCTGTAAAAAAGAAATGGGCAGCTGGGGATCACAAGTAAGCATCGATCAATGCCACACCAATACAAAAAAAAAAAACAAAAACCCACCCCAAAAACCAACCACCAAAAACCACGCACAGAAGCCCACCAAACAAGGTCAGTAGCGTAACAGAGTTTACAACAACCTCAATAATATTTCTGCGCATTATTTATCCCTGACAAGACCAGGGGAATGCCGTGCCCATTTTTGGGCACAGTTCTTTCCAACTCACTCATCTTTCTTCTAACTAGGATAAGGATACACAAAACATGTCTGGAAAAGGGTCTCTAGAGAAACACTTAACTAGTTTGGGGTTTTTATTTTAAGCTAAAAGATACAAGACTGATACATAAAAGAATGGTTTTCAAATACTTAAG